TAGTGACTTATTCAAACACGGCGGCCCAATCTCCGAATATTTTTGAATTTATACGGAATATTTAACCGTTATAATATTTAATAACGAATAATTCAAAAAATATTAGCAGTATATGTAAAAAATATATCTATAAAGGGCTAACTTGTTAATAGAATGCATTTGTTGTGTTTCTGAGTTTAGTTGATGCGATTGCTTTACGTTTTCGTCGTACTTGAACGGTCGTCAGTACTGGCACTGGCTACATAGGACATAAATAAGCCAGTGGCAGTGCCAGTACTGACGACAGTTCAAGTACGACGAAAACGTAAAGCAATCGCATCAACTCAACTCAGAAACACAACAAATGCATTCTATTAACAAGTTAGTCGTTTATAGATATATTTTTTACATAATTATACTGCTAATATTTTTTGAATTATTTCGTTATTAAATATTATAACGGTTAAATATTCCGTATAATTATTCAAAATATGTAGACCATTCGGAGATTGGGCCGCCTGTGATTCAAATACATCAAAAATTATCCCACCATGTAAACAGCCCTAAGACAACTGTTTAGGAATCAGGAGATAGGAAAAGTGCAATCTGAATATCAAACACCTTGCACAAGGTCAAAGGTCAGCTAAATATTCTAATTCTACTTTCTTGGCATGGTCAGTTTTATATGAATACCTTCAATACTTATAACTTCTTGCTTTTGTATGTATAATTATAACACTGTCAGTGGTGAAGCTAGCCAAAGCAAACAGTTCATGAGATGCGAGTTTTTAATGATTTGCATTATTCAAATAGATGCAGGTTTATTGGCGTGGCATGACCAGTTGCCATGGTAGCTAGCTTGCCACTGGATACTGTACAAAATCATATTATATATAAACGATAATAATATTTGAATGAATCATTGGACATGTAGAATTTAATAACAATTTCATATATAGAAATATTAAGTCAGTTTTTGTTCCAAGTATTGTTTTAATACAATAATATGGCACCTTCAAGGCTACCCCCCTCGGCAAAGCAACTGAAAAAATCTGCTGATGCCTGATGGAGAGACAAAATCTATTTGTTGACACTTTTGTTTCCGATATATCAGCTTATGATGACACTATTCACTTGTAATGATTAAGATTGTACTCAGTCAGAACTGCAAAACTATAATACAATAAATTTTGAGTATTATCAAAAAAATTAGTATACCCTGAGTACTGTAGTGACACTGACATAGCAAGGTGAATATATAAATGTAGGCTGGTAGGATTATTTCATATTATGCTAACAATGGTCAATGGACATATCTCAGAGACATATTTTTACAGACCGTCATACCTTTTACAAAAGTCAGTTGGCATGTTAATAGATGTAACTGCTGGTAAGTTACTATGTGCAGTCAATCCACACTGGGTTGCTATAGGAATATCTTTGTACAAGTCAGATCATTTTTCCTTTGTATACAATTGTGTCATTAGGGCCATTTATACGTGACAAAATAAGTCGCGACTTACATAAGACGCGACTTAAATAAGTGGAGTTATCGCATAAATGGTTCTCTACGGCTTTGGTCTTATTTATTTGCTATATAGCTATGTTGTTTTGGTTGTTTTTGTTTTAATATGCAAGGCATTAAATTTTACGTTGTTTCAAGTTTCTGGCGTGTGTAGTTAGACTTTTTGTCTAAAATTTCTTATTTAAGACGCGACTTAAATAAGAACAGCTAAACGACCTGTTCTTATGTAAGACGCGTCTTATCCAAGACGCGTCTTACATAAGAATTTTGTACCTTTTATACGACAAACTCGCGTCTTACCTAAGTCGCGTCTTATGTAAGTCGCGTCTTATTTTGTTCCGTATAAATGACCCTAATGTGTGTTCCAACTGCGGATTCATTCGATTCATGGGTAAAATAATTCGACCAAAACACATTGTTATTCGTAATCAAACTTTCATCTTCCCTTGAAGAATATTTTCGATAAATAGCCAGGCATAAATTTTGCAACAAGCTGGAATCAGAATTTACAAAAGGCACGAGCTTATTCTATGACACGAGGCAACGTGTTATTTACAAATTGTATAAATGCTGTAGTCCATGGTGGTGTTCGCGAGTCTCAGCTAGGGTATTCGGAAAGTCAAATCGCAATCTGGAGTATGTTATTTAAATTTCTGTGACGTCAAAATACGTCATAAATCTGAAAATCCGTACACCTCCAAAATCGAGTTGCCGTTTGGCTATACATAACTCGGCCGGAAACGGACTGGTGCGAGAAAAAACAAATCGTCAAGAATAATGTGCTGCCTTCGGCAGCAATAATACTCGAATGTTTGGTCATTCTCACGCCAGGCAATATTTGGCAGTCTCTACGCCATATGAACGTTCCTTTATTACACTGCTTAACGTCTTATCAACAGGTAAAATGTAAAGGACATTAACTGAGTGGTGTGTTAATTCTCAAGAAAATGACATTGGGCCATTGGCCATACTAAAAATTGCGATTACTGTAATATTTTTGTCCATGTAGAATGTACTGAAACGAAGATAGACCTTCGGACAGTTGTTCAACATATATGTACGGCTTTACATTTGTCTGTTGATAAGGAGTTTACATTAAATAAAACAGAACACAACTGTTTTGCGTCCAACCCCTTTGTTTAGGAATGTAGACATAATAAATCTTAACAAAATTTTACTTTAAGCTTTCCAGCCATTATAACTGATTGCTGATCAGGTGTCAAGTATAGTTGTGAACTTGCGTACACAGTCCCATCAAAATAAGGATTCTTCTTTGCAATGTGGCTGAAATCACAATGATAATAGGTATTGGTGAAGTCTGCACCATACTGTATGGCTCCGTTGTTATCCAAACCCCGAATTCTTCTATCAGTATGACGAACAATGATGTTGTGCGGTGGGCAACGGTACTTGTATGCAAAATCTTGGTTGCAGCCATAGCATTTCTTTACGTTGTTCTGTATCAGGCAAATTTGATACGGATGGGGTGAAAGCCCGGAATGCCAAACGGTAGTAGAATCAACAGGTTGGTACGGTAATTGTTGTTGTTGCTGCTGCTGCCGCAGCTGTTCGAATTGCTGTTCTTGCTGCTCTTGTAACTGATCTTGCTGTGGTGTTTGTTGAAGACGAAGATCATGCAGTTGTCGCTGCAGCTGTTGTTGTCGCTCCAGGAGCAGTGTTGGTTGTGGTTGTGCCTGATAATAACCTTGCGCATACTGGTGCTTGTATTGCTGTTGCTGAGGATGTAGAGTTGGCATGGTATTAGGGAATAGAATACCACGGTGTTGGGATGTGGTATAACCAAATTGTCCCTGTTGTGATAAGGTCGATGAACTTATTTGTGATGTAAACGTTGACGATACTGGACCACAAGAGTAATTCAATGGCCGTTTAGGATCTCCTAACTGAGGCTGGGAAATAGACGCTGCGGAAGGTTGCCACGATTCTTTCGTTTGCTTCTTCTTTCTTTTTGAAGCTTTGCTAATTTCGTCCGGTTTCATTCCTTGCTCTTTCGACGTCCTTCTCGCGTTATATGCGCTTGTCAGGTTAACGCCAGCTCCCTTTTTCCCTTTTTTCTCTGAAATTTTTTTGGATATCTTTAGCGTACTTTTCCAAGCAGTCAAGGTCTTCGGCTACTGCAATTGTGTCTTGGCAGATACCCACGGCCTTGTAAACGCTACACTGACATTCAAGCTGATTTCCAGTTTTCGACGGCTTTACAATGAGAGGAACTTTGCCAAGTCGGCTTTTTACAGTTCTTATTCGAAGATCGTCGGACGCTGCTTGCCGTATCGCACCTGGCTCGTTTAATAGGGCTTCCGCATTCTTAATCATATCTCTGAGCGTGCTGTTGGGAACAATTTCTTCTGAAATACCAAATTGATCCGCTGTGATAGAGAGACGCCGAACTTGAGGAATCGTTGGAAGCGATGGCACTACAGTTGCGCTGTCAGTAATTTCAACTGATTGGGTCTCGTCGTCGTTGGATATAATTTCGTCGTATGTTGGAATTGGACCTTCCCTGAGTATAGGCATAGGTGGACAACAGATACTTGTGAAGAAACGTTTCATCAGTCGCTTTCGTTCTTCTGGGGACATATCTTTCCAACTGTCGTAGTCAAGAGAAAATTTCTCGTATTCCTCATCCAATCTGTATGGCCCTTGCCCATATAAAGCTTTCGCAGCATCTTGGTATAACCGCAGAACCCTATTCTTAAGGCTGGAAACAGCTGCAGTCAGACTGACATCTCTGTGTTTAACGCCATCTGCTTCAGCATCGATCTCACGCTTTGACATGTAATGCAACCATTCCACTGGGTTCTGACCAAAGCCTCTCGGAACTCCTGCACGATCACGGATGTATTTTGTCATTTTCTCTCTGATTTGCTTCTCCTTATACCGGATGAAATACGTGCAAAACTTGGGTGGATTATTCTGCGTGGAAGATCTTTCAATATTTTCCCACTTGGTTTTAAAGGCTTTCGATTTCTGATTGAATTCTTCTTCGCTTTCACAATCGTATAAACAACCATCTACTCCCATCGCTGGACCACCGAATATATCGGCTTGGATTAATTTTCTTTGTCGAACAGGAAAATTCAACTCTGTGAGCTTTCTCTCAATGCTGTCTTGAACATGTTCCAATCCCAACAGGTGAATTGTGCCACGCGTTTCTTGCAGAATCCCACCACTTAATGCCTCATCTTCATCTGTACACACGGCATGTAGTCCTTCCAGCTGGGGTTTCTCACGCTTAACTGCTTGCCAAAAGTACTGAAAGTCTTCAGTTGTTCTGTTTCTGTGGATCAGAAGGGGTCCTGGAAACCATGGGTGCCTGACAGAATCCCGCTTGCGTAAGCTCAAGTTCTGGTACGCTGTCTGCGTAAAATAGTATTCAGCAATGTTGAAAGTCGTGTCAGCAAGCAAAGGAGAAAACGAATTTTCACTTCCGGCTCTTGTGCAAAAACGCAAAACGTCCGTTAGCGTTTGGTTTGTGAATGCGACGACGGCTGGCTGACATCCTTGACGAAATAACACTTCTCTGACAAACGGCTGGTTTTCTTCTAAAATGAAAAAATCTTTTTCTTGATTTTGCTGGAGCAACATAAGGATTACGTCATTGATCTCATCACTGGACTTCGAGTTACTTCCATAATTGAATTTGTAATTGGAAACTTGCTTTGGGTTACGGACTCGAACAGAGTCTGTTGTACTTTCCAAAATAGTCACGTCGGCGTCACCTATGGATTCTGCTAACAGTCGCGGCGCTGTAGAACACGACTTGACGGCTTCTTTGCATTCCTGTTTGACGGAGTGTTCAGTTGGTCTGTAGAACGGTGTGTCTTCTTTAGTTGCATTTCCATGTTTTGACGGGACAATAGGGACAGGGTTTCCAGAGCTAAAGTAATACTGAACAATAATCATTTTCAACCAGATATTGTATTCTTTCAGAGTTGTAAGAGTTCCATGAACGCTGTCATACTCTTGGACGGGCATAACAAAAATAACGTATCGTGTAAAAGAAGTGTCAAACTGCTTCAGAGTTTCTTTATGTACCGCCCGTTTTCGTATCACAGCATACAATTTGCTTAGATCGGCTGTTGTACTTTTCCATTTGCCATTCTCACGGCGGTTGTACGTTCCCCCGATGATGCTTCCTTTATTGTTCTTTCTCACGTGCACTTCAGTTGATAAACTTAGCTCCCCGTCGTCGCTTATGGTAGCTTGATAGAAACGTACCTGATCTCGCTTGATAAAAGATCCTGGTGTGTCATCTGCTTCAACGTCATATGGATGCTTAAGATGTATTAAGTCTTGTTGCACAACAAACGTAGCAGTTTCCTTGATCCGGGTTGGCTTTGTCTTAACAAGTTTCTCCTCTGGTATGTTGTGAAGAAGACATATATTAAATATTTCTTCAACGTTAGGACTGCTCTCACTAAACTTTGGCAGGTCGCGATTGTTACGGTAATATTGTATATGATCATCATCTGTTCGGAGACAATCGTCATCTACACGTTCTGTTTTTACATCACCAGAAAGTTTTTTACTTATGGGAGAATCGTCTGGGCAGAAACAATAGTCATCTACACGTTCTGTTTTTACATCACCAGAAAGTTTTTTACTTATGGGAGAATCGTCTGTGCAGAAACAATAGTCATCTACACGTTCTGTTTTTACATCACCAAAAAGTTTTTTTCTCACGGGAGAAAAACCAGTACCACTAGGGAATGTTTTCTTGTTGTCTTTTGTCAGGTCAACGACCTCTATAGTTACACTCTGCCTTTTCCTTTTTGATGCTTCCTTCATAAACAAATAAGTATTACGTTTGTCATAATACTTGTACAAAATGAATATGTACTTAATAAGAAGTTTGTCATGAATTATAGCTGCAGTAACTGAAATTAAATACTGCGTAAATGGCTGCCATTCAAAACTATTAAACAGGTTATGGTGGAACCTTTTAGAATAAACAAAGAGCTAACAAAAATTTTGATTAAAATTGTTATTTGGGTCACGATCCGCTTTACAGTTTCAGATTCAAGTTACAGATTCAAATTCAGATTCATGTTCAAATTTGAATCTGAAACGGGGTCAATTGTCGCGTACAAAATGTGGAATTGCTCTGTCTCTTTTCACGGAATAAACGTAATTCGTCAAGGACATCCATCTTCAGACTATTGCGCATTTCAGAAAGCTATATTTTGATTTTTACCTCATAATGTGAAGTCAGGAAAAATCGCAGAAACTACACGATCAACGCGTGAATTCTTACTGCGCCATGTTTGTCTTAAGCTGTCGGCAAAATTATTTTTCGCTTTGTATCGCAAAATACGCGTGTAGCTGCCTAATTTCTGAAAGACATTCATTAGTACACTATAATAAATTGTATAAAGAAAACTAGGTCTTAAACTAGGAAAAATCGCAAATCGTAGATCATGAGACACGGCTTTTGTAACCTGAAGCGAATGTCGACAACGCAGCTGAGAGAATAAACATTTCTCACGCGTCGCACGCTTAGTTTGGATTATTCGTCTACGAAAGACACTCATCTACAACTATCACAAAATTATACAATGCAGTTGTTATTTTTCAAACAGCTTGTTGTTTTGGCAGGAAAAATCGCAAAACACAACCGCTGTTGGAATCGAAAATCCGGGCGGGCATTAAGACTTTCATCACATTTCGTTTAGTCTCATATAAGCGAAGTTTCGTTTGCCTTCGTAGTGAATCTTCACCAGTTGACTGTAAATTATGGTCAAGTTTAAAATACTTTAAAATTAGGCAAATATTTCTCGCGGAAAAAGGGCTTGGAATCGTTCTTTAGAAGAACGATAGGATATCAACCCCCCGGATTTTATTGTTTCAGATTCAAATTTCATAATAACAATCTCAGTGCGTATAATATAACAATCTTTTGCGAGTTTTCCTGCGCATATGCGTTGCCGAATCGCAATAAAAACCAGACAGAATGAAGCGCGCAGTAATGTAAACGAATGTCCTTCTTTGCAGTATCTGCTGGTTTAATACAGTTGCTGTGGTTGAAGGATTTACCCAAACCAACGCTGTTTCTGCTCGAATCTGAAACTGAATCTGAATCTACATGAAATTTGAATCTTAACAAAAAATATCCGGGGGTAGCTGACATCCTATCGTCCTTCCATAACACGATTCCAAACCCTTTTCTGCGAAAAGTACCGGGCCGTTTTTGAGCACATCAACATTTAATCATAATTCCTAGTCATGCAGCTAGTGAACATTTGCTGTGAAGACAAATTATACTTGGTTTATATCAGTCTAAACGAACGTTTGGGAAAGTATTAATGCCCGCCCGGATTTTTGAATTCAACACATGTTGTGTTTTGCGAATTTTCCTGCCCAAACAACAAGTTGTTCAACGATAAAAAATGCGTTATAGGATTCTATGATAGTCGTAGATGAATGACCACTCCCTAAGAATTCACGCGTTGGTCGTGTAGTTTCTGCGATTTTTCTTGGCTACACGTTATGAGCTAAAAATTAAAGTATAGTTTTGTCAAATGCGCAATAGTCTGATAATGGATGTCCTTGATTAATTACATTTATTCCGTGAAAAGAGACTGAGCAATTCCATATTTTGTACCCCCATTTCATATTCAAATCTGAATATGAATCTGAAACTTGAATCTGAAACTGTAGAGCAGATCGTATTTGAGTCGTTTTTCTTTTTTTTGAAGGGGGGGGGGGGCTATATTTGTGGAGTACAAATCATCACTTGGAGTTCATGCACATATCATGTACTTGAGGTGTGTATAAACTATAATATAATATAATATAACATAACATAACATAACAGTAACCGTCACCGTCATAGTAACAGTTATAGTCACAGTTATAGTTATACAGTCACAGTTATAGTTATAGTCACAGTTATAGTTATAGTCACAGTCACAGTTAAAGTCACAGTTATAGTTATAGTCACAGTTATAGTTATAGTCATAATCACAGTCACAGTCACAGTTATAGTTATAGTTAATAGATCAGGAACCAGGAGTATTCACCAAAAAAGACCCTGGGGATGAAATATTTAATTCCTCAGAAGGTTAATTTTTGGCAAATACGCCAAGTAAAAGGTCTACACCTTTTAAACCAGCTTTTGCTGAATAGGATATCCCTGTTAAAAGATTATTAAATTTAAATTCTATTTATTATTTTAAAATATTTCCGTTTCAGGCACTTTGGGGGGGGGGGGCTTATTAGAGAGAGGGGGCTCATTTACTTATCCATAAAATCATATGCGATAATTTTCCGTAAGCACCGAACGAAATCCAAGTTTAACAATTGTACTAAAACGTGTTAATGCTATGTATTATAAGGTATGTTATGTATAATGTACTATTTATATATCCCTATGAAATTTGGAGCAAAAAATGAAATACAAATTATACATTTCAATTAACTAAACAAGCAAATCCCATAAAAGAAGTGTTTTTCTATAAATTGGGGAAGAGGGGCTTAATTGAGAGGGGGATTAATTAATACATTTCTTCCTCTTAAAAAGGGGTGCTTATTAGAGTGGTGGGATTATTTGAGAGGCCTCAGGGGGGGGGGGCTTAATAGAGAAAATACAGTAAGAGGGTTTATTTCAAACAAAGGTTATCTTTATAATAATAAGAAATAATAATGTACCAATATAATAGACAATACAATCTGATTATATTTAATGCAATTACTATATGGGCAAGAAACACTGTATATTTGCAATGTATTATATGCTGTATAGTGAGTGGCAATAGTCATATTATTCTTCCAAGACTAAGGGAAGGTTTATTATTTAAAGGTTGGGGAGGGAGGGGGCTGATAAAATAATAGGGGGAGTATATGGAGTGTAAAAGCCTAAAAGTGTGGTTTAAATATTGGGAATGCTTCCCCCGGAATATTTTAAAATCTAGAGTCCCTGAAATGCAATTTCCTGCTTTTTCGGGGTGTGAGTTTGCATAAGTCCGAAGACTGTATGGATAAAAGACACGATTTTTCATGATGGAAAATGTTGGGTTAAAATAATGCAAATTACTTTTATAACCGAATGATGATTGAGAGTAAATGTATTTTACATTTAAAAACCTAAACCGATCCCATTCTTCTTGGGGCCCTATATATGAATGCTTGGATGAGGTTATACACAATTATATTGTGGGTTTGGGTTTTTATTTCACGATCCCCCCCCCCCCTCTGTTAGCTAAATCCTGTCCAGCATCCCCAAGTTGAATGCCCTCTCTACGCTCCTGGTGGTAAAGAGCACACAAAAGAATAGGATGGGAAGAACTGTGCCATACTATATTCTTCTTAACTTTAATACATGTTGGAGGGGGGGGATGAAAAATTTTCAGACTGTTCGAAAGGGTTGGACTATATATTTAAACACATTAAAAGAGACGGTCGTTTTATTATGCTGTTTAAATTTTAGAATCCCCCCCCCCCCAACCGATAAATAATGAACCTATAAAAGTATTTTACATTTCCCTGTTGAAAACGGTATTAACAGGTGTACAATTGCCTTATTAAATTTGCAAAACACATAGACTACAGACATATAAACAACATGGCAAACATGCACTTTCATGTACTACAAAAACTCTCTGACAGCCTGTGAGCAATATACTACATTTAAACCTTTTTAGAGTCTTAGAGACAACACAAAAGACACCAAAAACAAATGTAAACAAACGAATCTTTATTCTATATTAATGAATTACCTTTTCTCCATCGTGCGAGGCTTCAAAATCAAAATCCATCAATAAGGCATTTCCAACACGAACATATAAATACGAAGCCAAAGTGAAAGTGAAAGTGAAATAAACTTTAAAGAAAGCGTGCTAATTCTCGTAAATTATTCGTATTTCACTCGTATGTACTCGTATGTACTCGTATTTCACTCGTATGTACTCGTATTTCACTCGTATGTACTCGTATGTACTCGTGTGTAACTCGTATGTAGTCGTGTGTAACTCGTATGTAGTCGTATGTAGTCGTATGTTACTCGTATGTACTCGTATGTTACTCGTATGTACTCGTGTGGTGTTTTAGTCACGATCAAGTATGATACCCGTTTGTATGGATAGATTTTTACATATATGTGCACTGTGTATAGTTTATACATTGGTTCTCAGATGAGTCTGAAGGTATATTGTTATTCAGTTATTTGTATGTATTGTTTTATACATTTTGCTGAGTATGATGCCTGTTTGTATCTAGTTGTGGATGGTTGTGAGAATATAATTTTAGAGGTTACATGTTTGCTAATTTTAGAGATGATAATGTATCAAATAATAATTTTCATGTTATGATTTTGTAGAAAGAGATTTACTTGAGTGGTTGGCTGGTCTTGAGCCTGTTCAGGATGGATATGATAATGAAAGAGGTGATCAAGGTGATAGGGCAGAAAGTGATGACGTTTAAGTGAGAAGATGAAAGTGATGAAGAAGAAATCGCCCACTCTGTACCATTCAAGTGCATCGGTGCTGCTCGTGAGAAGAACTACCAACATCATTTGGAAAATTAAATTAAGGCATAATACCTCACTCTTCATGAACAAGATAAAACAGTGAATGTAAGAATATGGCCAGCACCATTGAATCCAAGGGACCCAAGTGCAATAGGCAATTCCAGCTTTTAGTTTATTTTATTACAATTTTTCAGCATAATCAGCAATATGATACCTTACTTCCTGTTGCCCCCTGCACACATAAATTAAAAGCTGGAATTGCCTATTGACTAGACTATGGAACTGGATGACAACATGTTGGTTATATTGCTTTTCAACTATGCAA